TATGGAATATATTGATACATCTACCATAAATATTCTAGAATAAATAAGTTTAGCAAGGTTCCAGGATACATAGTCAACAAATAGCAAATGTTTTCTATATACTTAAAAAAAAAATACTTGGGAAAAACAAATTTAAAATCACACTATCAATTGTCCTCACTCTGCAAAAAGTAGAAAATGAAAATATAAACAACCATGTGCAATATCTGAGTGTAAAAACTAAGTCTAAAGAAAGTAATCCAAAAAGAACTAAATAAATGAGAAGACATACATGTTTGTGGATTGGAATATTTAAACTAGTAACAATGTCAATTCTCCCCAAACTGATCTATATTTTTAAGCAATTCATATTAAAATGAATTGCATCTGTGGGTATAAACAAGTTGCATCTACCTTTTAGATGAAAAACCAAAAAAATTAACATAGACAAAACAATTTTAAGAAAAAATAAATTTGAAAGAATTAGAGCATGTGAATTTAAGACACTATAGCTCTAGTAAATTAGAGAATGTGGTGGTTGGCAGAGAAATAGACACATGAAGAAAAGAAACAGAATAAAGAAGCTAGAAATAGACCTACACAGTTACAGCCAGCTGATTTTAGGCAAATAAACAAAAGCCCCTTAACAGAACAACTAGAGATTTTTCAACAAATAGTATTAGATATTTATAGAAAAAAATCAATGAAATTCAACCAAATTTCACATCTTATTCAAAGATTAACTCAAGATGCATAAGACTTAAATGCAAAACACAACAAAACTTTGGAAAAAAAATAAGAAAACATCTTTAGTATCTAGGACAAGGTGAAGTATTCTTATTCATGATACCAAAATTATAATCAATAATTTTTTTAAATGTAAACTGACTTCCTCAAAATTAAATGCTTTTTTACACTACATAAAAAGCATGTTTAAGTATATTAAAAAGACAAGACACAGTCTAGGGTAAACTGTTTGTAGATCACATATTTGACATTCAAAGTATATTAAAAACTCTTTGTATTAGTTTGTTAGGGCAGCCTTGACTGGCAGCTCAAGCAACATAAATGTATGTTCTTACAATCCTGGGGGCTAGCAATCTAATATCAAGGTGTGAGCAGAGATGGTTTCTTCTGAGGTCTCTCCCCTTGACTTGTAAATGGCTAACTTCTCACTGTCTACATACAGTCTTTCCGTTGTGCATATCTGTGTCCCAGTTTCTTATTTTATGAGGACACCAGTCACAGTGAATTAGGGCACACCCCAATGACATCGTTAAACCTAATTACCTCTTTAAAGTCCAGTCTCTAATCAGTCCATTTAAGGTACTGAGTTAGGGCATCAACACATAATTTCGCGTACACACTCAGAACCACAACTTTTCCTAGTCAATAGTAAAAAACAATCTATCATTAGAAGGCAATAACTGGCCTTGGGCGAAGAATATGTCACAGAATGGCAGAAATCAACACATAAAAAGATGTTCATAAAATTCATTTGGAGAATGCACATAAACCCCAAAAGAGGATTATACAACAGCTTAGAAAGGTAAAATAAACTAGTGCAACCCTAATACTGGTGAGATGTCAGAGGCCGATCTCTTGTATGTGGCTGAAGAAAGGCGCTGGGCACAGCCAATCATTGAACAAGGCATGGCGTTCTTTAGGTTAGACCCACTTACTGTAGCCTATAATCAACTTCGGGGTAGTTTTCCTAGCGAAATAACCTTATGTTTCACAGAAAGCCCTGTACTTGAATTCACGCGCTGAGATAGCCCAATTAGAAAAAAATCAAATTCATAAGGATAAAAGTAAAGCACACCTATACATCCATACAATAGGAATATTCAGCCAAAAAAGGAATGAACCAACTGACACACAGCAAAGTCGATTGAATCTAGAGAATTTGTTTAGTAAAGGGTCAATCAAATAAGAATCATATCGACTTATTTATAAGTTATCTCAAGGCAGAACATTTTATGATGAGACCAGATATTTTTTAATTAATATTATCTAGGGGAAGAGTATGACTATTGGGAGTAATATGAAGTTCTTTACTGATAGTATGTAGTGTCTGATTTATGGACAGTTACTCAAATACCATTTCTTAAATCGCAGAACTATACAACAAAACTAAAGTAAACCAAAATAATTCATGCCTGTGAAAACTGTGAAATCCAAATAAGATCTATATCTAAGTTAATAGGATTATACAAACATCCACTTCTTTGTTTCAGCATTGTAATGGGATTATGTAAGACATTATCTCTGGAGAAAGCTGAGTCTATAAGACCTATTTATTTATTTTTTTACAACTTCTTGTGAGTCTTAACCTATTTAAAATTTTTCAAAAGTTGTAAAACATTAGACTAGTTTCACACTGTCATAACATAATGTCTTAGTAATAATATTTAATTAATACTTAAATAATAAAATTATACTACAGCCAATTTCACTATGTTCTCACTAGTTTTTCTACTTTTTTCTTGAGATATATATATATATATATATATGGTCCACATGACTTTAAAGTAAAATCAAATATTAGGTATTTGTAAATATAATTGTATTATTTTTAATTGTCCTAAGAACATATATCCCTTTCAATAACCTAGAATTTCTAGGAACCTAAAATAACATATATTTTGCATAATGAATCAGGGTTTTTATTTTACAGGTGACCTTATTCGATCCTCTACATGTAATCTTCACGGTTTACGCTGATTATCTCATTTTAACTTACACTATGACTTTAGAAAGGGTAAAAGAAAAGGAGTCAGGATTTTTTCTAGAAAAGGCCAAGTTAAAAAATTGGAACTTGTATCAACTGTTCCACATACTTCAAGATAAAGTCTGAATAACTTGGTTGCCTCACAGAATGGAAGCTGTTGGCAACAAATAAAATGATAACAACCAGTTAGTCACATAATTAATTGCTGTTGCTTACAAATTGTTAGGTGCTTGGTTTGTTCTTCTATGAAAAGTCAAAAATTTTGAGTTAAGTCTCTAAATATTATCAAAAAAGGAGGAAACATGTTTCAGAGAAATAGTGCTCCCTGAAAAAAATATTTAGTTTTATTTATATTTATTTGGTTTTGTTTTTATACTGTGCCCTCTCCCATACTTCTCCTTCATACCCATTTCTACTGGTGCATGTTTAATTGAAAAGAGTTAGCATAACCATAATATATGCATGTTGGTTAAAATAGCTTATATTCTATTATTAAAGAATTTTGGAATCCAGAATTTGGCATAATGAAGATGGTTTTCAGCCTGATACTCTGATTTACACCCTGATATCTAAATCAGATCTGCTACATAATTCAAGTCAAATTCATAACATCCTTATAGAAATCTCTGAACTTTGCCAATGCTTCTCTTTTTCTAGATGGTGAGTGCTACACAATAATATTCTGCCCTGAGAAATTCTTCCTATAAATTTCGGCATTTGCTTTGACAACTTTTTTGCATCCAAGATTAGATAATCACAAATGTAAATTCTAAGGGTTATTTTATACAATAAATTATAAATTAGGCGACCTTAACAGCTTCATTTCTACTTTCAGGTCACTAAAATGTATTCAGTAACCTGGGACAATAATTACTATTCGGTAATCCTCTAAATAAGAAATTTACTAATGGAGCTATTAACAACAGCAGAATTGGCTAACCCGAATCTCACATTATCTCTTTCTCATTTTATCCTTTAATTTAGATGATCACGAGCAAGAAATGCCTAAAAGTGCAAGGAATAATAGAGGAAGAAGAAGATGACGTTTGAGTAATTTATAGAACTAAGTGTTTCCAAAAATTTGTTTAGGTCTTTCCTGCTGTTTTGAAATACTGGCAAACGTAGACGGAACAAACTTAACTTTACAACTTGGTGAATTCAGCAACACTCATATTATCTTTGCGAATTCTCCAATGTGTTTTCTTATATCTTGTGCTAACTATGTTACCTGGTTATGTGACAGCAATGGGTTCTACCCTTTGTCAGGAAGCAAAACTCTGATTTCCAGAAAACAGTGAAATCACATTTGGCTTGTGTAACGAAGTATCAGATAATCAAAGGATGAAGGAGAGAAAAAGAAGGTTCACAACTTGGAGTTTGGAATTACCCATTGTTTCACTGCCCCAGGCTAGTGATTTTCATTTCGGCAACTGCAAAGCACCGCTAAGGCAGAAAAGCATAGTGTCTTGATTTAGCACATTATGTGTCAGAAGGAACGGGAAGAAAATACATAATGTATATTTAATCTGTATCATCCAACCACTTCAAGCTTAGAGGTCCACCAATCCCACCCATCTTTCCTCTTCTTAAATTTTAAAATTTGTTTTAATAATTAAAAAAAAATTTTCTTAAATTTATTATTGAGGATTAATTCCTCATTTGACCTTAAACCTTTCATAAATTGAGATGCTCTAGTCCCTCTTCTGGACCACTAGTATTTGGCCTTATATACTAATTCAGTCATCAAGAGCTTGGTCTGCATCACAAGCATTAGGGGATATCTAGGTAGCTGTGAAATATGCAGGGACAAATATAAAAAGGCAAATTATTACTAAATGTTGCCCAGTATGCAAAATAAATTCAGATCTTAATTTCTCTGTTATAGTATGTCCTTACTTCCACATAGGGCACATCATGTGTCACAGACTTCTAATGATTAAATAGCAGCATCTTCAGTGGAATCCCAGCCTTCTCAGAATTCCTAACCAAAGCCTATCCCTTCTGCAGAGGAGAAATCAGTAGTAGAACACTTTTATAGTCAAGAGGTTAAATTTGCTCTGCACTTTATGTTTATCATGTTTAGACATTACACTCTGCATGACCAGGTTAATAATTTCGTCTTCAGAATTCAACTACAAGAGGGCAAACTCAATTATGTGGGATTGAATCCTGACTCATCCCCTGTATTGTGAAGCCATGTAATTTATTTAAACTTTCTTGATCTCAATACCATCATCTGTGAAATCATCAATATAGTTTTCACTACAGCAAAAAAAAATTTTTTTCTTACCTCAGCAAGTTCCAATTAGTCCATTATTTTTTTCAATTCTATCTCATATGTAGGTGATCTTCTTGACACTGAGGAGTAGTAATACTCAGTTATTTTCATGGTGACTCCTGTTTCTATAATTTATTTTAATCTAACAAGTAGGTTAAGAATTATTTATTTTCATGGCTGCATAGTATTCCATGGTATGTATGTGCCACATTATCTTTATCCATTCTATCATTGATGGACATTTGGGTTGCTTCCAAGTCTTTTCTACTGTAAATAGTGCTGCAATAAACATACATGTGCATGTGTCTTTAACACATGGAAACAGGGAGGGAAACATCACACACCAGGACCTGTCCGGGGGTGGTGGACAAGGGGAGGGATAGCATTAGGACAAATACCTAATGCATGAGGGACTTAAAACCTAGATGACAGGTTGATGGGTGCAGCATATCACCAAGGCACATGTATTCTTGTGTAACAAGCCTGCAGGCTCTGCACGTGTATCCCAGACTTAAAGTATAATAATAAAAAAAAGAATTATTTATTTTCATCCTCATATTCTTCAATGGCAGATAACTGACCTCTAACTTGCCATGCTAAACTTATTCTTTAATTTTCCCTTATCACCTGAACCATATGTTGCTACTTACTGGGGGAACAAGGTACTAATACTTCCTTGACATTTTTTTCTATTAAGGGCAAGAATTATGACAAAATGTAGATTAAGGCAAGATCAGAGAATCATGCCTTCAATGCTTTGAATGTGTACCCTAAAGTTCATGTGTTGGAAACTTAATTCCAATACAAAAATGTTGAGAGGTGGGACCTTTGAGAGGTGATTATGTTAAGAGAGCCCTGCCCTTATAAATGGATTAATGGCATTATTCCGGGAGTGAGTTAGTTACCATTGGTGTGTGCTCCTCATAAAAGGATGAGTTTGTCCCTTTTTTTCTTGCTCTCTCTCTAGTTGATTCTCTCTTGCTCTTCTGCCACTGGCCATGGGATGATGCAACATAGAACCCCTCACCAGATGCAGGAGCCATGCTCTTGGAATTTCCAGCCTTCATTACCTTGAAGACCAATACATTTCCGGTCACTCTAAGTTACCCAGTTTTTTGTATTCTGCTATAGCAGCATTAAATGAATGAAGATATGTCTTTTTTATAATTTCTCCACAAGCAGTTCTATAACAACTACTTCTGAAAAGACTTGATTTAGGCATACTAGTTTTGTCACTTTTTCAAATCTGGATGACTAAAATCTCTCTCCTATGATCCACATATAAATGTTGTCAAAAATGCTACCCCATTTTTTTGATTGGAGACAATATATAATTTCTAATGAAGAACACACATTGAGATCACTCATTTGTCTTCCCTCAATGCCTGACTCTTTGGCAACATTTTGGAGTCATTTAGAAACCAATGATCAAAACCCTCTTTTCCAGTTCTTACAAATGCTACTTTTCTCTTCTTCTTCCACAGAGTTTCACAGCTTCCTGATAGTCAGCTACAGAAGAGCAGTTTGTTCTTTAAGAAATTCTATCTAGGCAGATGATGCACGTATATACACCTACTGAGATGTTCTACAAATAATCATTAAAACTACTCTCATGAATACATTCTCTACTTCTTCCACACTCTTACTTCATTGCACTTTCTTAACAAGGTAACAACTCTGGATAAACCCAATGTTCTGCTTATCACATACCTGTACCCATGAAGGTGAGTGTGGCTAAACGATAATAATAATGATAAAAGTCAGAGTGCTTTCTATTTAAATATGTTACCTCAAACATCAACAGGATAACTAACATTATTAATTTCTCTAATCTATTAATTTTTCCACTCTCCTACCACACTCTTTTACTCTCTTGCAAAACCTTTAACATCACACTATAATCATTACACTCAACCGATGACCACTTTTCTTCCTTTCAGAAGAACACTGAAGCAATTATAAGTACACTTTCATTAAACTACATTGCAAACTATACACTTGCCTTTCCTCTTTGTCTTAGTTCATTGTGTGTGGCTTTAACAAAATATTACAGAATGGATAACATATAAGCAATGGAAACATTTTTTCTCTCATGTTTCTGGAGGCAGGGAAGTCTAAGATCAAGAGTCTGGCATCTCGCAAAAGCCTTCTTACTGTGGAATGACTGTGCCTTCCCATGGAAGAAGGTGGAAGGGCAAGAGAGAGAAAAAGAGCAAGATGGGGCTTAATACCTCCTTTTATAAGAAACTCACTCCCATGATAAGGACATTAATCTATTTATGGACCGAATACCTCTTAAAGGGCCCACTTCTTAATACTGCTACAATGGCAATTAAATTTCAACACGATTTCAAAGAGTGAGTTAAACCATAGTACTCATGTTACTGTAGCTGAACTTCTTCTCTCCTATATAGGCCATTTATTTTACTTGTAGGTGAGTCCCTTCCAATTATGCTAATTCAAGAATGTTACTCAGCAGTCTTCCCTTTTCATCTTCATAATTTTCCTTCTCTACTGAATAACATTAAGTAACATAAGTAATTTGTATTTTTGTTCATTACAAGAAATACCTTTTTTCTTTGGTCTCCATTTCCCTGGAGCTCTGGATTCATTTATTTGCTCATTTTTCAGCAAAACTCCTAAAAAGTTCTCTAGCCTTTCTGTCTCCAAATTTCCTTTTTCCATTTTTCTCTTAAATTATCTGTTAAGATTTTCCTAAACACTCCTCTAAAATTGGTGTATTCATGATGACCATGACTAGCACATAGCTATAAAAGGTGAGATCTTCATCTTTGTGTTAATTGAGCTATAAGTATGTGGGATTAAATATGGAAGACATCTTAGAAACCTAGAAATTCATTTGGCTTCTGTGGAACCACTCTTGGTTTCTCATCCTTTCCCCTTACTTTTCACAGTTCTATATCTTAGTTAAAAAAAAAAAAATCAAAGAGAATCAACATCTTCTGTTCCCTCAGTAAGCAAAACCAAATAAGTGGACTGATAAGAGAAGCTCGAAGAGCAAGTTTGACCTGCACCAACTTCTTTCTACACATTTTTTTTTTGCTGGTATTTTTCTCCTAGACTTCGTAAAATTACAGCACTCAGCTTCTACACTTCTCTGTCATCACTCTGTTGATAATCTCATCCAGGTTCTTGGCTTGACAGGATTTACAATTGGCTTCAACCCACATTTCTGCCGAGAATTTCAGACCTGATATTTCCACTTGAATACCTGGTAGCTATTTCAAGTATAACTTGTCAAATTGACCTCTTCATAATGCCTTCATATCTCTTTACAAATCTTAAAATCTTTACCATTCCAGTTAATGATAATTCTATACTCTTAGACCAAATACTTACTTATTATCTCAAGGTTCTGTTTGTGTTTCTTCTGATTCTACCTCTCAGTGGATACAAATATGAAACTCTGATATTTCTTTGCTAGGGAATATAATCATGGTGTAGATATGACTTTACTGAAGATTTGGCGTACAGTTGGGTTGGCTGGGGTATGCTCAGGATGCCCCACTGGTGGCTCTTGCCATCTTTTTGGCATCTCACAGTTATCCCCCTCAGAGCCCCCGGCTCTCTCTCATCCATTTTCTAAAGCGTTTGCTCCTGCCATGGTATCATCGCTCCTAGTCACAGGGTTTGGAGACATTTAATCCTTTCTTATAGACTACATTTGTATGACATCATAATAATTTCCTGAATAAGTGAAAGTGAAAATCAAGTAACCTATTTTTAATTTTGAAAGTATATAAATGGGTCAGTTGGTAGAATAATATTGAATACATTTTTAATAGAATAGCTCAACTGTATTTTATTACCCAGCATAAATACTGGGTTTTTATTTTTATTTTTGGAAGAACTCCCTGTTTTTCTCCCAGAAATTTTGGTGCTCCCTCTTATTTATTATCTATTGTAGTGACTGTTTCCAGATTAAAATTCTCTATCAGAGGACAAGTGCCCTAGCTTGAGCCACAGTGTGTATGCCAGGAACTCTATTAATATTTTCAAATTCATTTAATAAATGAACGAATCAATATTCACTAAAGCAGTGTTAAATTTCATTAATATGGATCATTTGCTTCAGGCAATGAAACACATTCAAGAATTGGCAAGTGTTGTTTCCCTTACTCACTTAAAAAGGCAAATGTACTAAGCCATTCACAGTGTCAGGCTGGAATGACCTCCTGAGTTTCCAACATCTATGAAATCCCATTTGGATTGCTGCAGATAGCAAATTGCTAATCCTCAGACCCAGTTTAGAAAACATTTGTCAACAGTGTTGGAATGTGGAATATCAATAAAGTCAGCTCACCAACAATCCTCTGAAAATTTTACCTTTTTATTAGTATATAATAAAAAAGTTCTTTCAGTAACAGCCCCGTTCCTTTGAGGCATTTTTAAATTATCAATTACTCATGAGTTTCATGCAAAATAAATAAGAAACATGTTGATTTGACAATTTAATAAGCAATAATGAGGTTTAGAACTAAAATAGAAATCAATTGTATGTACTCTTTATCTATACTGCCATCAATTTAATAACATGTGACAGTTTTATTAACCTAGGAGTCTCATTTGTTTATTTAATTGTTTTCCAGAATGACTACTTTCTGATTATCAGTGATTTGTCCTTCATATTTACATAATTAAGTATACTGTCTCACCTCTTTTGATTATAAGTTAACTAAAAATTTTATCCTGTTATGGTTTATTTTTTTTTGAAAAGCTAGGACATGAATTTAAAAATCTATTAAAACAATCTATGAAAGATAAGTATCTCTTTGTAGAGCAGCTAATCCTCAGGGAAAGAGAGTCTAACTTATTTAATTTTAGGACTTATGCAATGCAATTTCAAAATCTGACTAAAAATAGAAAGCTATGGATGACATTTTCATAGTAGAAAAATGTTAGTAGCTACAAGCTTTAGAAAGTGACATCTTTTCAAAATGTTGAAATTACTTTTATTCTACAACAATATCTAGTTAACATAAAATATTGAATTAATTATTGGTGCCATGATAGTACAGAGTAGCTCATGTTATTCTAGGCTAAAATTGCAATGTAACTTCAAAATAGTTACAGTACTGTTTATTAGTTTTATTTCTTAACGTACTAATTGTGTCAGGTAAAGAACAAACTGCTGAAGTTGTGCAGATAAAACAAGAATAAATCAAATTTTTCTTCTGACTCACTGAGAAAGTCTTGGGTGGCATATGCATAATAATTATCAGTGTAATTAAAAAAATTATTATCCTATAGCAACCCTTGTAAATTGGTATATTTGGTAACTTCAGATTTGAGTAACTCTATGCAATTTTTGTTTTCACAATATTCAGCATGTTAACTGAAACCTTAGCTTAGCAAAGTGTTGAGCTTAGCAAAGTGCAATTAAACATTTGGCAAAGCAAGAGTGCTGCAACAACTTTTGGACCTTTTACCTCATTTCACGGATACCTTCATCCAGATGACAAATGTCAGTGTCGGTTCTGCAAGTAAACCAAGTTGCTACATTTCATAAGTTGTCGTTCTAGTCATCTGATTCATTTCAGAATATATTTACCTACATTCCTCATGATTGTGCTTAGCTTTTCCATGTCTTATGAATCCTGAATCAGTTTCATTTAAAAAAAAAAAAAAATACCTTCTGGGCACATTATTCTTCTCATGAGTTTGGCCTTCAGTTCTACAAAATCAAGTTGTTTTTAATTTCAGGATATCAGCCACAGCTAACATTTTCTTTTAGCTCTCCTTAACTCACTCTATGCTTCCAGCTGGTAAAGAGGTGATGAATCATTCTTGATTTCTTTCTGTCTTGCCCCTCCAAATCCTATTCTGTAAAGTCTCCTCATTGCAATCCCCTAAAAATATATTTAAACAATGTTTTTCATTTCCACTGCTGTGATTTTAATAGCTTCTTCCTGGGATCTTGATTTCAACAGCCTCTTCCTCATACTATTCTCAACACTACTGTCAGTGAACTTCTAAAAATGGATTCTGTGTATGACTGTAGGAAATATTTCAATATTCTGTATCTTCAGTAACCTCTGCAACCCAAGTGTCTCTGCCCAAAGTGTCTTCAAGGTAATGTCAAATACCATATTTTTTTAAGTTTTTGCACACTTCCTAGGAATATATGTCATAGTATGTAAAGAAGATCTGATTCATGTGATCTGTACTGTTAAGAAACACTTCAGAGGAAAACAACGTCTCATAGATCTCCAAATCCTGTTGTTCTTGCATTGGAACGTACAATATTCAGATAGAGATGCTGATACCAAAAAAAGACTGAATCATCAGGCTATTAGAAAGATAAACTAGGCATCTGACATAGTAACTTTTAACAATTTGTACTTATACATATTTTCACATTGAAATATAGTTTTATTAACGACTTCTTTTTTTAGCCTCTCTGTCTTCCATTATTTCAAGCTGTTAAAAATTAAATAACCTATAGTAAAGGGCTTTGTCATCTACTTTTTTTGTAAAAATAAGGAAAGCAGGGTATTTTTTTAATAGAAATCTGTTGAATCAGCACCACATTACATGCTACACTGGAGTCCCATTTGTATCCTGGGCAAAAACATTCTTCAGATTTATAAAAGGATTTTCTATACAGAAAAATAAAAACTACATTTTAATATTTGAATTGGACCTCAAAAGCCAAAATTAGGCTTTTTGTTTCTAAGAAAGTCTCTATCATAAAACATATGTGCATGATTTTTGGGTTACAAAAAAGGAGGATTGGCTTAATATTGAAAGCCTTATTTATGTGGCTCTGTTATTTATCTCCTTTAAGATTTATACTTTTCCATTTTTTGCATCCATATGCGATTATTCAGGTGGATTATTAAGAATAATTCCACCCAGCACTTTGGGAGGCCGAGGCGGGCGGATCACGAGGTCAGGAGATCCAGGCCATCCTGGCTAACACAGTGAAACCCCGTCTCTACTAAAAATATAAAAAATTAGCTGGGCATTGTGGCGGGGGCTTGTAGTCCCAGCTACTTGGGAGGCTGAGGCAGGAGAATGGCGTGAAACTGGGAGGCGGAGCTTGCAGTGAGCCGAGATCACTCCACTGCACTCCAGCCTGGGCGACAGAGCAAGACTCCGTCTCAAAAAAAATTAATAATAAATAAAAAAGAATAATTCCATAATATTGTATGTATAAAAGAAGAAATATGTGCCATGAATGTACATTGTTTAGAGAATTTGAAGTAGTTAAGTGAATTCAATAATAAAAAACTTGAATGAAATATGTTACAGTTTTTTATATTTTATATTTTGCTACATTTATCTCAGGCTACTGAAAACATTATTGTGACCCTTACAAATAATGAATTAATTTAAGATTCAAATGGGTGACTAATGATGTCATTCTCTGAGCTAACAAGCAAATGTGGAAAAACTAGCTTGTGGTAGGAGGATTTAATAAAAATTTTTTAGCAAGGTCACCTTCAGGAACTGTTTAAACTACAAAAGAAGAAAACTTAGAACAAAGCCATGATGACTGGTGACAAGTGAAGAAGACAAGCACACTAAAGCCAAGGTTTAATACAAGGGTTTCAGAAAAAGTAGCCAGAGAAGAGTAAATAGCACATTGAAAATCAAGAGAATTGTTATGCAATAAAATAGTCCGTATGTTAAAAAGGTACAGATGAATTAACCTATATAAGAACAAATGTAAAATATTTTTATTGGGTTTGGAAACTAGAAAAGTATAACCTTGCAAAATCAATTCTAGGCTGGGGATTGAGGCTATAAGGGGTAGATCGCAGGCAGAGGATGATGAGTCAAATGAGTGAGTATAAGAAGAAAACAGAGTGTTTTGAAAGAATGTGGAGCTAAAGAATATTCATTTATTAATTTTTAAGGTTTTGTTTTCATTTAATGTAAAAATAAGGATAAAAGACTTGGCTTCCAGTCCAGCATGTTGAGGAGCTTGGAAGTTATCAATCCCATGATCACAATAAAAAGAGGTGAACAAACTGAAAATCAACAACTCTATTTTTAGATTCATCAGTGAGGTAAGGATGCAAGACAAATTCCTGCCTCCAAAATTGGAGAGAAAAACAGTTGAATACAGAAAATAAAAACTTACCATAGCAGAAGCCCAGGAGCAAAAATATCTCTGCAGGAACCAGTACAAAGAGAAACCTCAAACTATATTGGATGAAATTATTAGAGGCTCAACATGAACACATTTGAAAGCTAAAAACTTCGAGGAGGGTCAGTTTTATCTCACTCAGCATACACATGCTTTCGTTTGTTCCAGGAGCACTACCAGCTTCTCAGAGTAGAAATATGGAAAAAAAAATCTCGTTATACTTCCATTAGGGAAAGAAAAAACAAAAACAAACGTCTATTTTAAAGAGCATTTTTGACTGCTTAGCCAAGGCTACTTCAAATGAAATTATTCTACTAAAGCCTAACACACTGGAGTTTCCCCCAAACCTAACAAAGCTGGGGGAAGGGAAATACTCAACTCTAGCTTCCTCTAGTCTTCCTTTCCCACTTAAGCCAGGAGTCAGGGCATGAGCGGCACTTACGCAAGTCACAGCTCAAACTGAGGTCTAGTTATAGTTCTATAAAACTGCGGGTACCGCAGGGCATGGTGGCTCGTGCCTATAATCCCAGCACTTTGGGAGGCCAGGACTGGTGGGTCACGAGGTCAGCAGATGCAGATCATGTTGGCCAACATGGTGAAACCCCCTCTCTACTAAAATACAATAAAATGGACCTGCGTGTGGCGCGTGCCTGTAATCCCAGCTACTTGAGAGACTGAGGCAGGGGAATCGCTTGAACCCGGGAGGCGGAGGTTGTGGTGAGCTGAGATTGTGCCACTGCACTCCTGCAGCTACTGCAGGTAGTCACAGCATGTTCAAAAAGAAGTTTCCAGGGAAACCCAAAGAAAATGGGGGACATAAAATGAAGGACACCTGAAAAATGTTAGCCTCCAATGCTGATAGCTACAGCAAAAAGTGAACACAGGTTAACTCTTTTATCCAAATATACATGACTCCTCTCACAAAAGGCCTAGGTACCTTAGTGTCCTTTTTCCAGTAATATCATACTTGAATTTCAAGAAAAATTATAAAGCATGCTAAGAGATAAAAATATACACACACAATTTAAAAAGACAGAACAAGCCTCAGAACCAGATTCAGAAAGGACAGAGATGGTGGAATTATCAGAAAAGGAGTTTAAAACAACTATGATTATTATATTCAGTGACTAATAAAAGAAGATTAGCTTGTATAAAAACAGATGGGCCATTTAAGTCAAGATATAACAACTTAAAGAAAAGACTCAAAAGAAAATGTTAGAAATCAAAACACTGTAGCAGATATAAAAAATATATATATATGCCTTTGATGGGTTCATCATTAAGCAGAGCATATTCAAGGAAAATTTTAGTGAACTTGAAGAAATATCCATAGAAATTTCTAAAACTGTAGTAGAAAGGAAAAAAGGAAGAAGGAACAGAATATCCAAAAATAGTGAGATAATTATAAAAAGTGTAACATTAGTATAATTAGATTAATGGAAAAAGAAGAAAAGGAAAAGAATTAAAGAAAATTTGAAGCAATGATGACTAAAAAATTTTCAAATGTTATTATAGACACCAAATCGCACATCCAGGAAGTTCAGAGAATATCAAACAGGAAAAATACCACAATATCTAACTGACCTGTGATAGTTAAGATTATTTGTCCACTTGGATAGGTTCTGTACTCAGGTACTTAAACATGAGTTTAGATGTTGCTGTGAAGTTATTAATATTTCAAACTGAAAGCAAATCGAAATAGTATTTATATTAGTACTCCTCAAAAATGAAATGCTTAGGTGTAAAGTCAAAAAGGTATAAGCTCAATATGAAGAAAACTCTGTTAAAAGAAATCAAGGAAAATTTAAATAAATTCATATTCTATGCACATGAATAGGATGACAATATTGCCAAGGTATCAGTTCTTCCCAGCGTGGTCTATAGAGTCAACATATTCTAATCACATCCCCAGGAAGTTATTGTATATGTTGGCCAGGTGCCGTGGCTCAGGCCTCTAATCCCCGCAATTTGGGAGGTCAAGGCAGGTGGATCACAAGGTCAAGAGATTGAGACCATCCTGGCCAACATGGTGAAACCCCATCTCTACTAAAAATACAAAAATTATCTGGGCGCTGTGGTGCACATCTGTAGTCCCAGCTACTCGGGAGTCTGAGGCAGGAGAATCACTTGAACCTGGAAGGCAGAGGTATGGGAGGTATAGGAGCAACAGGAATTCTCATTCATTGCTGGTGAGAATGGAAAATGGTAAGGACACTTTGGAAGCAAGTAGGTTGATTCAGAAACCTAAATATACTCCAGCTATTGTACTCCCTGGTATTTGCCCAAACAAGTTAAACATGTTTGTATTCACACAAAAAAGCAACTGCATGCAAGTATTTATAGTAGCTGTAATCATAATGGCCAAAATCTAGAATAAGTGAATCAATATATAAATAATTGTACATCCCTATAATGAAATATTATTTATTGCTATAAAGAAATGATCTATCATACCACAAAGACATGGAAGAAACTGAAATTAGCACTGCTAAGTGAAAGAAGCAACTCCATAAAAGCTACATACTCTATAATTCTAACTAACAAACCCATGGAGATGATAAAAAAGACCAGTGATTGCTAGGGTTTCATGAAGAAAGGGATAAGGATGAATAGGTGTAGCACAGACGGTTAAGGAAAGTGAATCTATTCTGTGTGATGCCATAATTGTGTATCCATGTAATTGTAAATTTGTAAAATCCATATAATATTATATAATATATAATGCAAATGTAAATGCTAATGTGAACTATAGATTTTAGTAATAATGTATCAATACTTGTTCATCAGTTTTAACAACTGTGTCACACAAATGCAAGATGCTAATTATAGGAAAAGCTTTGGGAGTGGGAGAGATTGAGGTAGTATATGGGGACTCCTTGTACTTTCTGTTCAATTTTTTTTTTGAAAACTTAAAACTACTCTAAAAATAGCATATATTTATAATAGATCACACTATACACCAAAATCATTATAATTATTTCTTCTCTGAGAAGGGAGGAGAGGATTAGAATAGAAGGTGCTAGCCAAGGGAAATTTTATATTACCTAAAATAGTCTCTTCTTCTTAATAGAAAAATATTTTTATATTTTACAAATTTAATATACATGAAAAGACTGAAAACTAGGGGGTTGAAATATTGATAGTAATACATTCTGCTTGGTGAGGAGACTTTGTTAATTTCTTCTTTGTACTTTTTAATTAAAAATACAAGCTGCTACTCCAAAGAGATGTATATAATTTTTCTTTCTTTTTTTTTTTTTTTTTTTTTACCAGAGTTGTGTTTTTTAAAAAAAAGGCAAGATAAGCTAATGAAGACTATATTAAAGATGCATGGATGAATTTACAATCTATAAGGTGATGATGTTGAAAAGACAATAGTGATAGAGTGTGAGGTACAGATAGAGATGAACTTAGAGTGGAGGTGGAATGCCTTTTCCATCCACTATAATCTAACAAAGAAGAAATAAGTCACTCCAATTACACTAAGATTGTAGATTTTATGAAAGACTATTTAGGAGTACCTATATGGCTTTCTTTTTGTAAAATTGGGGTAAAATTATCCTCAGAGCAGTTGACAGAATGAGAATTTAAAAGAAAAAAAATAGCAATATGTTGATTAGGAGAGCATACAGACCAAACAGAGAAAACTAAACCACAGATTGCAACACTTTGAGTGCCTAGGTGAAGCTGTAGGCCATCAAAGCATTATAACAAAAAATTGCCTTCTCAGGAAATTTTCCACAGCAGAGCTCAGTATCCCCCTATGTACACATACATAATCTGATTTATATAGGTTTAAGTGTCTGTTAAACAGGCATGATAGAAGGAGAATAGAATGAATTTTCTGAGGGCTGTTGTATAAGAAAACATTTGCATTTCATTAGGATTATAAAAGAACCTGCACAAGAGAATTGAGTAAACCATGTACTAAATATTTCCATTTATAAAGGAGAATGATAAAGAGAGAAAAGTAACAGTGGTGAAGTTATTTAGAATTACCCTTCAATTATTTCAGAGTTTGAGAAGGATTGGCATTCGTTTTGTAAGTTTGGTAGAATTCAACTAGGAAGCATTCATTTTAGGATTTTCTTTGTTGGGAGATTTTTGATTACAGATTTAATATTCTTACTTTCTGTTGGTTTGTTCAGGTTTTCTATTTCTAAGAATTTATCTATTCAAGTTTTCCAGTTTCTTGGTGTATAATTATCCATAGTAGCCTTATAATCCTGCCTATTCTGTTGTATTGATTTTAATATGTTGTCTTTTATTCATGACTTTATTAATATTTATTTGAATCTTCTCTCTTTCTTAGTCTAGATAAAGGTAAACAGTTGTGTTCGCCTTTTCAAAAACCCAACTCTTAGTTTTACTGATTTTTCTCTATTAGTCTCTTCTAAAGGTCTCTATGTTATCTATTTCTGTTAGGATATTTATTATTTACTTTTTTCCTACTATCTTGGAGTTTAGTTCTTTTTCTAGTCTTCACAAGTCAGCAGGAGAGAGACAGAGAGAGAGAAAGAAGCACAGGAGAAACTGACTTTTATAAAACCATCAGATCTCAAGAGAGCTCCCTCACTATCATGAGGACTGCATGGGGGAAACCACTTCCATGATCCAATCACCTCCCAATAGGTCCCTCACTCAACACATGGGGATTACAATTCAAGATGAAATTTAGGTGGACATACAGAACCAGATCATACGAATGCATTACACAAACATATGTATATGTGTATGTATGTGTGTGCATGTATATACATATACACATATGCATGTACAATGATATTTTTGATTGTTAGAGCTCTGATAATAGGAAACCGTCCATTTTTGGATGTGTAAAAAGGCATAATGTGTATATACACTTTTGAACACTCTGTGGAATTCCCTGATCTCAGTTCTCTGAACAGTTGTGATCTTAGCATTTGTCTCAGAGCAGTTCTTTGGTTGCCACTAATTGTCAATTGGAATTGGCAATAGCTAGTTTTTCTGCTGTCCCAAATTCAATAAAATTTTCTTTTTGTATACTAAGAGACCAGTAGCAACAATGTATTTAATGACATATTATTCAAAAATAGACATTTCTTTGTAATGACATATTTTTCCAACTTAAAGATGCAAGAGAAATCAAAATAGAAAAGATTATTAACAAAACACAGGATCATATTTATAAACCAGATCTCTCTCTTTGGTAATAGTTTCCTCTGGATTTCTGAAGCAGTTTGTGTCTGTTTTAAGTAAAGTGTATAACAAAATCATGAATGCTACTATACAAAATTACATTTTCAGCGAAAAAGTAGAAGAAATTACAAGAATATATGAGGCTGTAAGCTAAGTAGTAAAATCAACATCAATTTAGATAAACACGGCTCAAAAGTCAGTATATACAAATCTAGAATATATTAAATTTCAAGCTAAAATATAAAACATTTATATATAGCATTTTATTGCTATATAGATGATAAAAGATAACAATTTGCCGTGTAGACAGAAAAAGAAGATTCAGAATATAAAAATAACTTGTGCGGAAAATAGTTATCAAAATGCCCAGAGAACGCAGCAAACTAAAAATAATCCAGTCCTGCTTATGCTGCAATGGCAAAGAAGGTAATATAAAAGGTAATATAAAATATTACACACTGGGGCCCATTGTGGGGAGGGGGGAGGGAGGAGGGATAGCATTAAGAGAGATACCTAATGTAAATGACGAGTTAATGGGTGCAGCACACCAACATGGCACATGTATATATATGTAACAAACCTGCATGTTGTGCACATGTACTTTAGAACTTAAAGTAAAATAATAATAATAATAAAAAATATATAAAACATAATTATTATTAAAAATAAAAATAATTGATTTAAAATATAATTTTCTTATCTAATATCTAATAATTTAAAATCTAATATTATTAAATTAGATTTCAATACTTTTATAAAAGTCATGTTGGCTTTCCAGATATGAGATTTCTAAATTTTGATAAGATTGATATCATTATTTTATTCCTTTAAAGACATCTGTAGCATAATTATTGAGAAATAATCATCTAGATGACTCAGAATTAAAACAATGTCTGATTTAATAGTTTTAATATTCTGTTTATAGATTTGATTATCTCAAAAATAAATTTTTATTCTCATCTTCAGAAGGAATCTTCTCGCAAGCCATTTTCCTAAGTAGCAACTAAGCAGGTGGCCCAGTCATGACCAACACAAATAAAATAAATTCATTAGTTGGTAAAGATACTATGATTCAAAACAACTGTGAAGATGCTTAAGTTTTTTTTTTTTTTTTTTTTTTGCTCTATGCATTAATGATTTTAAGAGTTTTTGTCTGAGTGTTAATGGATATATGCCTTCCACTACTTTATTTTTCTCTAGAAATACCTATTACCAAATTTAAATACTTATCAAATTCAAAGTGTATATAATAACATTCATTACAATATGCATTATGTATATATGATAAATTTTATATATGTACATATACACATAGTGTACTATAAGTGTTTAGTTCTATTTTTATCATAAATTAAATTTAGTTTCCTACTGTTGCTGTGTTACTTGCTAAGTGGAGAGTGTACATTCTCTCATTGATCACATTTCTTCCGGGTCAATATTCCTCCACACTCAGGCAATAATGCCAAATTTTAAATCAATATTAACACTTTCAAGTAATTTTATTTATAATTGACAAATAAATTTTATATATTTATAGGGTACAATGTGATTTTTTTAATGTATGTATACATTGTAGAATGATGAAATCAAGCTAATTAATGGATCTGTCCCCTCAAATCCTTATCATTTCTAAGGGGTGAGAACATTTAAAATCCACTTGGCAATTTTCAAATATACTATACATTATTATTAACTGTTTTCACCAAATTATACAGATCTTCAGAACTTATTCCTCCCGTGTAACTGAAAATGTTTACCATTTGGCCAGCATCATCCAATTTCCTCCCACCCCTAGTAACCACCATTCTACCCTCTACTTTCATGAGTTCATTGTTTTTAGATCACATACATATGTGAGATTAGGCAGTATTTGTTTTCTTTTGAGTAGCTTATTTCTCCTAGCAAAATATCCTTCATGTTCATCCATGTTGTCACAAATTACATAATTTTCTTCTTTTATAAGACTGACTAGTATGTTTTTCTAGTTCTTTGATGTAGAATATTAGGTTACTTATTGAAGTTTTTAAAAAATGTTTTGAGGTAAGCATTTATTGTTATAAGTTTCTCTCAGAATTACTTTTGCAGCATTCCATAAGTTTTGGTATGTTGTATTTCTATTTTTGTTTGCCTCAAGATACATGTGCGAGTATGTATATATATATTTACATGTGTGTGTGTATGTGTATACATTACAGAGTATATGAACGTAATGATGAACCCATCAAAGGCTTTTTTAAAAAATTTCTGCTACAGTGCTTTTGATTTCTAACATTTCCTTTTGAGTCTTTAAGTTCTTAAACTGAATACACACACACACACACACACACACACACACATATATATACATGCATACACACACACATACAAACACATACATATATTTAATTTCTCTTTTGATTTCTTCTTTTACCCATTCGTGGTTCATGTTGCTTAATTTCCACATACTTGTGAATTTTTCTAAATGCCTAATATTACTAATTTATAGTTTCATAACAATGTAGTCAGAAAACACACTTGATATAGTTTCAAACGTTTTAAATTTGTTGAGACATGTGTGAAGGTACGATCACAGCTCACCTTTACCTCCTGGGCTCAAGCAATCCTCCCATCTCAGCCTCCCATGTAGCTGGGACAACAGGCATGCACCACCACATTGGGCTCAGTTTAAACTTTTTTTTTTTTTTTTGGAAAAAATGGGTGACTATGTTTTCCAGGCTGGTCTTGAACTTCTGGCGACAAGTGATCCTCGTACCTTGGCCTCCCAAAACGCTGGCCTTTCACCTTCTTAAGGGCAGAGTATTTTTATAAACTGTTTTTGATTGCTCTACTCAGATTTGTCCTTATGTATTTGCCTTATGTATTTACTAATTCAGTTATTTATTTAAGAATAGATTCATGGATATGTATTTTACGCTTTGGTTATAATCCAATCCTTCTTTCTTTATTTTGTGGCTTAAGTTGTGCAAGTTTTAGCCACTGGTCGCTCTTTTAGTTGTCTCCTATAACCTTTTGACACACTTGCATTATTGTTGATTATTTTGTTTTTATTCTAATAATTCCTTACTTTCTGCACTATACGATACAGCAGAATAATGTTGTATATTTCTTCCCCCAGTCCTAGAATCATCCATTCCTCCAATTGCACTGGTTACTTTTAATGGAGAATAGAAAGAAAAACCATGATTTGGGTACTAAGTATGCTTGTTGTTACTGTGGAATATTGCCTCTAGGTTCTATCTGCTGAGAGAGCAAGGAAATGTATTTTTATATACTAACCAGTACATATACACATATCCAGAAATATTTCTATGCATCTTCATTTGTACATTAAGCTAAAGTTCAGTTCATAGTGATGTCTCCTACTCTTGTCCATTATCACATGGATTATTATGGATTTTCCCTCTGCTTATCTTTTAATTCTCACTCCAACAGTGGAAACCCTAGCTTCCATATCCCACCACCCAATTTTTACACATTTTTTCAATTGCAAAATACATGCATACCACTATCAGAACTATTAACGTGTAACCCTATGGGAAATAGCTTTATTAAATGGAGTATAGTGCTTATGTATAGTTTGTTCCTTTTAGACTTACAGTTTCCACTTATTTCCAAAGACACGTAGGTCAGAACTTTTTCCTTCATTTCCTTCAGTGATGTCGATTCATACATTTGTAATGCATTTTTGCTTTGACATTTTCTGTATTCCATCCTAGAAGACATATATTGCATGGGTACAGTTAGATTCATGCTGTAAAGTTCTATGTGTATCATCAAATTTATAAGTGTCATGTATCCACAAGCATAATATCATTGGGAATCATTTCGCTCCTGTAAAAATCCCCCTTTGTCTTTCAGTATTTAACCTTGTCTCAAGATTAAACACCTGGTAACCATTGACCATTTTACCATAACTATAATATGGCATATTGTGGGGAAAAGAAAGAGAGATCAGACTGTTACTGTATCTATATAGAAAGAAGTAGACATAAGAGACTCCATTTTGTTCTGTATTTGAGATGCTGTTAATCTGTGACCCTACCCCCAACCTTCCCAACCTTGTCCTTGCAAGAGACCTGTCCTGTGGTGACTCAAGGTTTAACAGATTTTGGGCTGTGCAGGGTGTGCTTTGTTAAACAAGTGTCTGAAGGCAGCTTGTTAGTTAAAGGTCATCACCATTCTCTTAATCTCAAGTACCCAGGGACACGTACAGGGCCAAAGGTCGCAGGGATCTCTGCCTAGGAAAGCTAGGTATTGTCCAAGGTTTCTCCCCATGTGATAGTCTGAAATATGGCCTCGTGGGAAGGGAAAGACCTGACGTCCCCTATCCTGACACCCGTGAAGGGTCTGTGCTGAGGAGGACTACTACAAGAGGAAAGAAGGCCTCTTGGCAGTTGAGATCGAGAAAAGCATCTTTCTCCTGCCCGTCCCTGGGCAATGGAACATCTCAGTGTAAAACCTGATTGTATGTTCTGTTTACTGAGAAAGGAGAAAACCGCCTTAGGGCTGAAGGTGGGACGTGCTAGCGGCAATGCTGCTCTTTATGCACTAAAAAGGTTTATGGAGATGTTTCCATATGCGTATCAAGGCACAGCACATTTCCTTAAACTTATTCATGCCACAGAGATCTTTATTCATATGTCTTACTGCTGACCTTCTCCCTACAAAATGATCCTATTATCCTGCCACTTCCCTTTTTCTAAGATGGTAAAGATAAATAAATGATCAATAAATACTGAGAGAACTCAGAGAAATAAATGATCAATAAATACTGAGAGAACTCAGAAACTGGTGCCGGCGTGGGTCCTCTGTAAGCTGAGCGCCGGTTCCCTGGGCCCATTTTTTTCTTTCTCTATGCTTTGTCTCTATGTCTCATTTCTTTCCTCAAGTCTCTCGTTCCACCTAGAGAAACGCCCACAGGTGTGGAGGGGCAGGCCACCCCTTCAGCATACCAGTAATTAGTCTTTTAAATTTACTGCTATTATATTATTTTCTTTTAGGTCATCCATTTTATTAGAAATATATGTGAAATTTGAAGTCATATGCATGGATGTACCTACTGTGGTCATGATGAAAAACAGATACATTACAGTTGAATGGATTCATAAATGCAAAACATTCATGTCAAGGAAGCTCAGTGTTGTATTGAGAAAGAAAATAAATTCAAGCTTCTAATAGAACCAGGCAAATTCCTAAATTTATAAATACACCAAAATATTATATGTATTTATTTATAAATATAAATAAAAATCTCCAAACATAATTAGGTATTCCCCTAGACGTCTTTGTTGCAAACAAAATACAATATGTTAAGAACTTAAGAAATATAGTAGGTTTTCATTCCCTCTATTGTTAAAGAAAACATAAGTCATAATATATTCGATTAAATTTGTTTTCAAGGAAGATGAGATTAAAACATAAAATATGTTTAATTAAAAATAAATCTATAACCCATGATTAGAAAGTGCAGCACACTTGCATCAGCTTTACTGAATTCAACAGCATTGTTCTAAATTAGATGTAATTAGTACCATTAATACAATTTATATTTTTCCATATATATTAAAATATTAGGTTATAATAACCTTAATTGTATGTGACCTTTCTTGAACACTTTCTAAGAGTCATAGGTTATGCTAAATGTTTTATGTACATTGCTCTTCTAAAAATAAACTAAGAAATATTTTTAAAAAGCACACAAACTTGAAGTAGGTACAAGTATTTTACTCCCGTATTGAGGAGGAAACTCCTTGTCTCAGAAATATTGGTTATCTTCCTAAAAGTCACACATCTAACAAACTTCAATATCTTTATTCCCCGACCACTTCAAACATTTTTGTCTTGTATTCATACAATTTCCATCTTAAATTTTATATTTAAATAGCATTAGTGACAATTTCAAAATTTCCAGCATTACCTGGTAATGCTTATTATTAATTTTTGTAATAATTATTATTGTTTTGTTTTAACTTAAGTAAATTGACTTGTTAATCCTTTAGCCTGAGCTACACCTAATACCCAAGACTGGGTAATTTATAAAGGAAAGAGTTTAATTCACTCACAGTTCAGCATGGTTGGGAAGGCCTCGGGAAATTTACAATTGTGGCAGAAGTGGAGTCAAAAACGTCCTTTACATAGCAGCAGCAAGGAGAAGTGCTGAGCAGCAGAGGGAAGAACCCTTTATAAAACCATCAGATCTCATGAGAACTTGCTCACTATCAAGAGAACAGCAGCATAGGGTAACCACCCCCATGACTCAGTTTTCACCCACTAGGTCCCTCCCATGACACAAGGGGATTATGGGAACTACAATTCAAATGAGATTTGGGTGGAAACACAACAAACCGTATCAACATCCAATAATATGTCGTAATTTAAACTGCATGTTGAGCAATGTAGATTACTCCTTTTGAATGATAAATCAATATGGGAAAATGGTACAAATCAATTAAAATAACTGTTAAAAATAACCTCTAAAAAAGATATAACTTATACTTCCAAGAATTTTGATAAAACTTTTAAGCAGGAAAGACAATGATTCCAGATGGATTTAAAGTGATATTAATACTGTAATGATGAAAAAGAAAGAAGGATGTTGTTAATGGTGGGAAAAAGGTAAATGTACTATTTTGATACAGATATATACATTAGGTATTATAACTTACAAAAATATAGCTTCAAATTCTTGTAATTAACAATGAGAATGATTATTTAAATTTTTAATATTCAATTATGCATACCAAGATAAGAAAATTACCAAGATAAGAACATCTGTAAATATTGAAGGATATTGATAAGCTCTTAATACCTATGATTATAAGCGGGCTTAAGAAAAATCCTGTATTAGTGAAACTAGTACATTCAAAGTTGTCACTTGATATTTTTAATGTATTCATATTTTATAGCACATTTTCACAGTTTCTTACTTTTGGGGTTACACTCCAATGGATTTGTGATTTTGCTAAATATTATTTATTTTAATGTTTAAAGAATTATGAAATAGAATTTAAGAGGAAAAAGGGTGACAATTCTGACATTTCTGGCATGCACTTGCTAAGTGATATTAGGAAAATATATCTAAACACTTTGTCTTACTTTCCTAGACTGTGAAATAGAGGTAATATTAGTGCCTACTTCGTTAAGTATTTCTGAGTATTAAGTGAGCTAATACAGGTGTATTTGGAAAACTGCCAATTACATAAACCTGCAATAAATTATAGCTGTGTTTGCTGCTGTCACTTTTTTATTACTGTTGTCACTAATACAATCATCATTACCATCATCTTCCCATGATAAAAATAATTCTTGGAGGCTTAAAAAAGGTAAATTTATCCACCTTCCAAGATTTCGTATGAATCTGCCTTCTAAATAGTCCATGAAACACTGGCAGTTTTCAATACTTTAAATTTTGGTTCATCTAATAAAAGAAAATATTTCATTTATATTATGTAGTAATTGGTGAAGATACCTAAATTATCTCATAATTACAATGATTTGCATTTCTACTTTAGAGTCGATTTAAACATTTCTAATATTTGTTTTAGATAGATTTTAATAAAATAATTTTGGCTTTACAATTTTTTAATAAATGAGAAAATTAATCCTTTGTCATTGTCATTTTCTAGTTTGTCATATTTTTCTGTCAACTTTACTAGTAGTATATTTTGTCTTATACAATTTTATAATTATATGTGTTTAAATAAATCATCCACATACTGTGTAGCTTCTGATTTTTATGATATGCTTACAAAAAATGCCTGATAGCAATGCTATCATATTTTTTACCCATTTTACTTCTAATAATTGGTTTTAAATTTTGCTTTCAATTTTGGTTATGGTTTAATATTTTCTTAATATGAAATATATTTTTATGTAAGGAGTAAAGGAAAGATGACATTGCCATGGCACCTTTCTTAGTTTGTATTTACCTCATTGATTTGAAATATCATACTAAATTTTCCTATAAAGCTGAGACTTTGTCTGTGTTATCTATATTAGTGTCTTAATATGACAGACTTTTAAAAATGCCTACAAACAAAAGGTCCACTAGTTTACATAAATTTTTTCTTAATGTATAATGAGAATCTTATGTAGTTATTTTATTAGCAGTGTTTTTATTTATCACCTTATTTTGGTAAATTATTTCTTTCCTTTGTGTTCTCATGCCAGTTTTTTGTTACTCTTCACTTGGGGGCTACTGCTAAATTTATTCTTTACTGTTATATCTCTATTGATTGTTTCTATATTTTTGTGAATATTTTCATATTTTAATATTTTCTCTTTTACAGTCTGCAGTCTTTTTCTTACATAACCAGTGTAATCAGTTAATTAATTATTATTATTATGAAAATATTTCGTGAAATAATGCCAAATAAAAATAATGCATTCAATAAATATGTGTTGAATTAATGGATGTGTATCCAGAAATAATAGAAATCTACTATAGAATTAGTGTTTCATTTCTGTTTTTTATTATTTTTATTATATTGACTTTGAGTTTCAAAATAATGGAAGAAATTAAATATATATGTGTGTACACACATATTTTAGGTGTATATGCACGTATTGTGAATATATATCTCATATATACACATATTGTGAAAATATATATCATAAATATACACATATTGTGAATATATATCATATATATACACATATTGTGAATATATATATCATATATATACACATATTGTGAATATATATATCATATATATACACATCTTTCAAAAAGATAAATGTTTCATAAAAAACTCCAAGTAGATAATTCATTTGTTTCCCTCCTTAAACCTCTAATGAAATGGATTTCCTTTAAAATATTTTCTTAGAGATCCAAAGTTAGATTTACTTTCTGTAGGGACATACATCATTGGGAAGTAGGGATTAAAGGGAATACATAAGGAGTTTACAATGAAATATTTATACCCAGTAGTATATTATAGAAATTATTTCTGAAAGAAATAAAATAACACATGTGTGCACATATGTGTGTATGTAAATATATGAATTGATCTATCTATGCATTCATATCTCCAATTCTATTAAAAATGGGTTGTAGAGGAATACATATACAGTCAAGGTGTATGCATAAGAATTTTCAGCTTTTTTAATGAGCCTCATTTCAGATCATAATTCAAGCCTTTTTTCTAGCACATTGATTTTCTTTATAATATATTTTGCTATGAATATTGACAATAAAGAAAAATTTCATTCATAATTTCAGCAAGTCCTCTATATTTTTCATAAAGGTGACAGTTTTAGGGGATAAGTTTCTTTAGCACACGCTGCACTAGATTTAAGTACTGAAGATGTTAAGTCTTAAGTACCTCAATAATGTTTAAAAATAATGGGTAATAACTCTAATGAGTGGTAAAAATTTCACTTTTCCAGTCACATAAAACCTAACCATTATTTTTTCAGTAATGCTCTGTTACAGAAATGTGTGTAAGAGTTTTAGTTGCCAGGGAAACCATCTTTTATGAAACTGAATATAAAATAGAAAGTTTTACAAAGTTATCCAAAGGGCACACTGAATGTTTTATATTAGTTTATTTTGAGTTTGTTGTTGGTATTGGTGTCTTTTGGAATAAACTTTTAATACAAGTTCCAAAAATTGTTATCTATGGCACCAAAAGGATGCAGTAGGATTTAAAGTTTTGCTAATATAATGGATACGAACCTTAAAATATTTTGTGAAACAAATGTTTTTAAACATTGTGAATTTAGCTGTGCCAAAGTATGCTAGGACAAAGTTCTTGTAGAAAAGTTTATAATATTTCTACATTTTCTGTTCTTTATAATACAAGCTTCCTTAAAATTAGTAGTCCTATATATTCATGTCATTTATATTCTGAGTTTCAGGTTTAAATAAATCATAATTAAGTAGAGATGAGACTAACATTAAATTGAAGGCACAACTTTGGGTTCAACCTTTTTGAAATTGCAATTGATTTTTGAACACTTTTTAATTCTTTTGACTACATTGAAATAGTTAAGACTAAAAAGGCCTTCAATTTACAGTTAGTCTCACATTTACTTAAATAATAATTATGATATATTTAGACATGAAACTCAGAATACAAATGACATGAATAGATAAGACTATTAATTTAAAGAAAGTTTGTATCAGAACAGAAAAGGTATATTATATTTTGTCCTTAAAATTTTAATATTTTGCTTAAAAATTGCACATACAATATAAAAATATATTACTTTGTAAAAGAACAATGTGAGTAAAGATACATTGCTCCTTCTTGACTAGTCCAATATAATAATAATTACAATAATTATATTATTATAATACAACAAAGTAATAGCAATAGTAGCCTACAGTTTGTTAGTAACAAAGCTCATAGCATTTCATACATTTTTATTATATATATATTTATAATTTCATATAGAATTATACTCACAAAATTCCATTAGAGAAGATGAAACATAGATTATCCTATAGAGTCTGAGAGAGATAACAGCTTGCCAACCCCTTAGATTTGTTCCAGGAAGACTCATTTCAGAATTCGGACCTTCATTATTTATCTACCTCTACACATATATATTGTATATACATAATCACAATTTATGTTATGGCAACATATATATGTGTGTGTGTATATATACACACACACACATGTTTTTAGGTATAAATATGTTATATATTACCACTGTTTTATATGTTATATATGAGATCACAATTTTTATCCATTTATCTGTCAATAGATACTTAGATTGCTCTCCTGCCTTGGCTATTAAGAACTATGCTGCAACAAACATGGGGGTGCAAATGTAAATTAGTGCAAATTAGTACTACTCAGTACTAATTTTATTTACTTTTGATACATACCCAGAAGTGGAATAGCTGAATCATGTGGTAATTTTATTCTCAATTGGTTAGGGAACTCCGTTTTGTTTTCCATAACAGCAGTATCAACTTACATTCCCATCAACAGTGTATAAGAGTTCCCTTTTTTTGGTACCCTCTCCAACACTTGTTATCTATTCCTTTTTTGGTAATAGCCATCCTGCTGTGAGGTGATATCTCATTGTGACTTTGATCGTCATTTCCCTGATGATTGAAAAGAAGGTAATCTCGTCACGAATCAACCTGTAGTATATTATGCTAAGTGAAATAAATCAGACACAGAAGGATAAATACTG